TGAGTGGAGTGTCCAGAAAAGCGCTATATAAGTGTAAGCAATTATTATTATTATTATTATTATTATTCTTATTAAGTGTTGCAGTGTGCTAATTAGTGACGGACACTTGATGAGGCTTGACTTAATGGTTTTTGATGTTGACACATTCTCTCTTCTCCAATTACACCAGACGGCAAAAAGAAACGACTACCAGTCAGTTTCCAAGTGCTTTTCACATCTGTAGTTTAATTAAAATCAAATGCTTTGCTTGCTTGCTCGTTTAGTTCAAGACAGTCGAAGCACACCTGTGGTGATCGAGTTCCTTTGCTGGCAAAAAAAACAATTTTTTTGATGGTTGTTGGAAGAGTTTGAGCCAAGACAGAATTGGTTCCACCAGAGTTGATTTAACAGGGTAGCAGCATACTCTTCATATCTCCCAGTGGATGTAGCAATAATGCTTTTAATAGAGTGAAACTTAAGACCACTGTCGGAAGGTCTACACAGATGCTACACTACACAATAACACAACACCACTCCATCCTTTACAGCCATTTGTACAAACTTTATTGCAGGCTTGTGATAATTCATATTGGTTCATAACAAGACTCAGTGTCAGCTGAAAGCTAGGAGCAGGACAGAGCAGGGTGTAGCGAAGTAGGTTGAAGATGATGCAAGACCCAGTCTTGGGTCTTAAGTGGAAGACTTGAGAGCAGACGGGGACTTTCTGCAGATGCAGCTCAGTAACTGTAGCCCAGGCGTGTTGAGGTGAAAGTTTATTCTGCTACATGTTTTTAAGGCCTGATGTTTTGTCAGGTCATGTAGTGCATATGAAGGAGTTGTGACACTACTCCTTCAAGTCACGTGTTCGTGCCTTATTCGTTTGGAGAAAGAAAACAGACACAGCGATCTGTGGTTATTTAAAAATCTAAATATGATACAACTTAAAAGCAAGAATTCTCCCATTATTTAGATTCTAGGCCCACGTTAAAACTAACTTTTGGTACATGCAAAAACTTTTCCAGTAATGTGTGCTACTTAATCCAGGCTACTTAACTAAAGATTTGCATTGAGATGAACAATATCAACAAAATAAAGAGCACCACCATCCTGACATAATTGTGATCAAAATTGTTCTCAGTTTGAAATGGGCCAATAGCTTGCACGCATGACGCAGAAATATTACCTCATATTATAATATACCAGTGAATAATGAAACAGCGCATCACCTGATAGTTGGGAGTTGATCCAAGACATGTTGATAGGAATGTCTGATGGTGAAATATACCAGATAAACCTGAAAGTACGTCACCCGGTCGGCAACAGCTGGGCTGCACGGATGCGCTGTGGGATAAGCCTCACCTTGGATTTCGAGGTTTTTCACAGGTGTGGAGATTTCAGGATGGCTGCACCCACATTTCAGTGCTTTGTGCTCCACGTAAGAATTGGATTATTTCTATTTCCCGCATGTTACATCATCAATTCTGTGTTATTGTTATGAGTATTTGGATGTGTAATCTGTAGCTGTGAATTTTTTACCCCCAAGAATTTGAATGTCCCATTAGTTCTCTGCCCTTGAACACTCGCAGCATTTCAGTCACTGTTTCTCTGCTGGGGAATGTCCAGATTTCTTAAATTAAAACTCATACGGGATTTTACTTCATTTATCACACAGCATAGGCAACTTGCAAAAAGTGA